ATCTTTTATTCAACATAAAACAAACATAATCGATTCTAATATAAAAACTAATGTAAAGGATGAATCTGGTGCTGTTTAATAAGTTTGTTGATATCAGGTTTCAATTTACTCCAGGCGGCGTCGTGGTGAATGTTCACCGATCCCACGGCGCCGACTCAACCGGCAGGATGGAAACCCGGGGGGGTTTTAGTGGCGTAGGCCCTCCAGTCTGGAGGGAGAGTCCCCACATAACCCCTGAGTCTCCCTGGGTTCAGGGGTATCCATAAAGATTTCCCCCCCGTCAAAAAAAAACGTTCCAATTTACTCAAGAACAGCCGATTTCTCTTTTTAGTAAGCAGCGTTGTCACAGCACTAAAACCACGTTCACACAAATATGACGACGGGAATGCTATCAAGAATCGTTGAACTCGTTGGAATCGTTCTGGCCAAAATTCTTGGTAGCAATTTTTGAACTTGATTTTTATTTCCTCGTTCGTTGTCAATTCTATAAGTTCTTCTTCCAGCTGAGGTGATATTGCTGTGTTGACGTTTGAAAACGGATCCAACACCCAGTCTGGTATTTCCAAGTTTAAAATGTCCTAGTATCGGTCAGTGAAGTCAATGTGGAGGTTTTCCAAATGTTGGCAGTAGGCTAACAAGTCGTCGTTACTGCGGTATACTGAAAAATTCGGAAAATTGTGAAACTCACGTCCGCCCATATTCTTTTTGTGTAGACGCAGTTTGGCTGCGAAAGCAGAAACGACATTTTTTGTTTTAATTAAATTTAGTTCATCGTCTTGCAGTTGGAGATTCATGTCGTTGAACTATTTATACAGGCTGTCATGTAAGCTACATCATTCTTTGATGTAATGAGCTTGTTGCGCAATTCTGTATCTTAAGTTACCAAGAACTCTATCACAGAGTCAAACAGGTTGTAAAATCGAGTCAGACAATTGCCTCTTGATAGCCAACGACTTCAGTATGAAACAACAAACGGTTGAAATCTTCGTCATTAGTAACACAAATCTGATGAAATAATCTATCATTCAGAGAGATGTTACGGATTTTATTGACTGCTTTGATGACATATTGCAGGATTGAAATAGTCGTTCACTTAAATTTCTAGCTACCAAATGTTGTCTTTGAATAACGCAATGTACAGCAAGGACATCTGGAAGTTTATTTTTTAAGTACGCTATGAAGCCTTTATGGCACCCTGTCATAGCCGGAGCGCCATCCATAGCAACTGATATAATACATAATTATTTTTCAAGGGAATCTCTTTCTCATCACAAAGCTTTTCCAATGTATTGAATGTGGTTTCGCCTTTTGTATCGGTCTCTAAATTTCTAGCAAACAATAGTTCTTCACATATTTTCTCATCTTTAATAAATCTCACATAAGACAGCAACAATGCTTCATTACTTGGTAAAGTGGACTCATCGAGCTGAATTGAGAATTGACTAGTCCTCAGATGATTGCACAATGATTCTTCAATGTTTTCAGCCATTTCATCAATTCTCTTTGCACAGCATTATTACTCAAAGGAATTTTTCGGATAATATCTGCGGCCGGTTTATGAAGCACAGGAGTTATTACTTCCGTTATTGCTGCCAAAATTAACTCTTCTCCGATGTTGTTTGGTTTGCCTTTTTGAGCAATTAACAAAGATATAGGTATTGTACGAAGCTCGAAGTCCGTCGTCATCTTGCTTAGCAGCCGCCGAAAAGAGTTTTGCTACACTTGGCTGAGTATTATGCTTCTTCTCTAGGTCTTGAAAATATGCTACATTCTTGTCTTTCTTATCTGGATGCATTTTATTCAAATGATCTTGCAGTCTTGAAGGTCGTTGCTTCATTCGAAAATGTTTTTAAACATAGAAGGCACAAAGGCGACGATGGGTTTGTGGGATTTTCAATGAATCCGAATTTAATATATTCCGCACAGTATTGCCGTCTCTTCTTTTTTACTTCCGACATTGTTTTGTTTTGAGAAATACGTAAATAAGTGTTGAGCTTAAGTACTGCTTATCTATTACGCGCGAAACCGCAAATGAAAATAAAATAAATATTACGTTGTTTATCTAGGATTACTTAAGCAGTACGCACCGACAGGAATAAGGCAACATGCATAAACTCGTTTATCTCATTCGACGCCCAATCGTACTCAACAAGTAAGAACAAGTATTCTATGAACCAGCTAATTGATACAGGAATGCACAAATCGGGTTATTTAACAAAAACTTGTTAAGTCATGATTGCCCGCGGTCTATTGTCTACGAAAATTACCTATCTAGGAATACTAATAACTATTAAAATGCGAAACTGTGTTTGTTGCCTTTTTATTTGTTTGTTTTTGTCTACTTTCATTTCGAAACGGAGCGACCGATTGACATGATTTTTATTTTATTTATTCAATAAAACAGGACAGATATATGAACTACACGGAGAGAAATATCGAACCGAGTTAGTTTGAGCAATCTCTTAATTAATATAAAGTTGTAGTCGAGAGTCGAGAGCTCAGTCGGTGTCTAAGGGTCGTATTCCAGAACTATAAGATAAAGAAAAGAATAAGAAAATTATACTCAAATCCTTGTCATTAGGGTAGTATTTCCAGTGCTTGAAATCATACTCAAGTCTGCTCAAATCCTGACTTGAGCATTGAGTAGAGTTGTGGAATACGACCCTAAGAGTCTTCCTAGATGAAATTACAAATCTCCCCCTAAGCCTCTACACAAAGCCCCCATTTTTTTTCTGGGTCTCTTACCCCTTTAGGCACTTTGGGAAAGGCTGAGATAAAAAGTCATAGCAATTTTGGTAGTTTTCTAAATCATCCACAATTATTGGTGGTAGTGCCGGAACTTTTTTCTGCTTCTGCTTCATCGTGGACGTTTCAATTGTTTCCTCTTGTGAAATGTTCGATGACGTGTTGTTCAGTTTTCTTTTCTTTCTACTTTTTTCTCGTATCCATTCCGTTTCTGTAGCTAGTTTTTTTCGTTGGTCGTCGGTATATTAGAATGCGCAAACAATTTTTTTCCTCGTCGTGTAAAGTTGTTAACATTGAGATAGTACCGGTTGCCAGTTCACAGTCGATATTGCGGACGGTATTATAAAAAATATTCAGGATACGAACAAAAAAAATATTAATGTTTTAGATACGGAAGTGGAAACGACTTAAAAAGCAATATTATACTTAACTCAAGCTGTATATGATTTTTATTTAACAATCAAGACATGAAACATGCGTGAAACTAAAATAGTAACAATTCATAAAATTTAATTAATAAACATGTTTGCTACCTCAAACATTTAAAATAACAAGAGTAAGAAAATAAAGGAAAAATGGCTTGTACGACCTTAGCACCGACCGGCAGCGACTACTTTTCGATGTTTACGTGCGAGCGCTGAGTGACAGAATGAATACATTCACAACACAGCTCCGCTCTCGCTTTTATAACAACCATGAGGATAGGGCGGTGCTAAATAAGGGTGCAGCTCATACATGGTATTCATAAATTTAATTAACTACAGTTATCTGTGATTTAATTGCCTCTGTGGCCGAACGGTTACCATGCCGGACTGCCACGCAGAGGCCCCAGGTTCAATTCCCGGGCCGGGAGAAATATTTGTATGGTCTATATTTATTTCTCTCAGAATGAATGAATGAATGATATTTATTTGCTCAAAATATGGTTTACATAAGATGGTATTTTATAGATAGTAACAGTTCTCATATTTAACCGAAAGCGGCATGCAAATATTAAATTTTGTAAAATTCTAGAAATTGTGTATAATTCAAAGCAAATCTAGTAATTTAAAGTAATATAAAAAAGTTATTAATTTATAAATGTCATAAGTGCTAGTAAATTTATGTCATGTCAAGTTAAAAGTAATAATAATAATAATCAAAATTTAAAAATTATACATAATGAATTAATGTCAATTTTATGTCCATCAATTATATTGTCAAATTTGAAAATCTTTGTATGAAACATCTTTTATGTCAGAGGGTAAAGCATTATACATTTTCACACACATAGCTCCGGATTGTCTCAGGTAGTAAGTTAATTTGGTATTACTGTGATTAATTAACTTGTCTGGATACCTTACATTTATTGAATGAACGTCTCGTGTCCTTTTGAAAAGTTTATAATTGTTTTTTATAAACATAGACACTTCAAAAATGTACGTACAAGGCAGCGGTAGAATATTGAGAGTTTTAAACAAAGGCTTACACGTTTCGCGGGGTCCTAAGCCACGCATTGCTCGTACACATTGTTTTTGTGCTACAAATAGTTTATTTGTCTCCGCCGAATTTCCCCATAGTACAAGCCCATATCGAAGTATTGAAGCGACGTAGCCATGGTAAGCATCCAAAGTAGTAGACAACGCGGAAGTGTCACGTAGTCGCCTTAGAACATAGACATAACGATTTATACTAATTAGTACTCTGTCGATATGAAGATTCCATTGAACCTAGAAATTTAGTTTGCTCTACTTCTTGTAAAATTTCCCCATTGTAACTTATATTTAATTTTAACTTCTTGTGTCTAATCGTCCCAAATTGTATAAAGTTAGTTTTATTAAAATTTACTGTCAAAATTTACTGTCAATAGTGCTATTTTTTCAATGACGGTTTGTTTGGTTTTGGTTTTGGTCCGGATTCGCTCTGGGCCTTTTGGAGGGAAAAGTGTCGTTTTTATTTTGACTTTCAATTATTTTGTGAAATCTAGTTTAAAGTAGAATAGGATAGTGCTATTGTGACTTAATCGGAGATTAAAACGCGAAATTATACGAATCTCGAATTAAAATACCCGTGTCGGCCCGTTCTAAGGAATCCCGAGTCAATCCAAACACGCCGCCTCAAATTGCCTATCCTCTTTGTGGCGGCCATATTTACAGAAACAATTAAACGAAGACATGGCTTAAAATAATGTACCAAGACTTGGCTGTATGGTGTAAAACCTTTGCCTTTTTCTTTATGGAAAGAAGAAAAAATAAAATTGGTTTTGGTCGGCTTTTGTTTTAGTGAACGCTGCTGCGGCTTCTTATTGTCGTTGATTGGTTATAGTTAATATTTCTTAATTTCTAAAAGTATATCGTAATAAGGATTAGTATTATGCGTAATGTCTACTTCAAGTAATATTTCTCAATCGGTCTACTCTCCTTCTGAATCAGAAACTCCACAAGTAAGTTGCGAGTGTCTATTCATTATACGGTCTATTCACTATCTGCACGGCAGTCCGCCGCGCAGGCAGGAGACTGCTCACGCACTATCCTGCGTATGGCCCACGTATGGAGTCTCGCAGGACACATTGCAGGATGGCTTGCACGCTGCGTCTACATTTATAATCCTATATTACGCGACGGACGGCAAGGCGGACTACAATGCAGGATACTGAATGCCCCCTTTAACACAACATTTCATTCATTCTATCACCAGTAAAACATTAAATGGCCCATTCACTACCTGCATGGCAGTCCACCGCGCAAGCAGAAGACTGTTCACACATTATCCTGCGTATTACCCACGTATGGAGTCTCGCAGGACGCATTGTAGGATTGCAGGCTGGCTTGCACATTGTGACTTCATTCATAATTCTGCATTACACGGCGGACGGCAAAGAGGACTGCAATGGAGAATATTGAATGCCCCTTTTAAAAATCAAGAGCAATTCTTATTTTGATGTTGCACAGGCATTAATTTCATTTTCAGGGTACACCACAAAAGAAGCTTCAGAATTTTGATCAGTCAGTAAGCCATGTCGATTTAGGCCACAGTATAGAGTTGTCTGTGAAGAACGCCCAAAAAGAACAACACCAAAAACGAATACAAGGATTGAGAAAAGAACTAGACTTCTTAAAATCCACTGAGTGGATGTTTGAATGTGATAAGGGATTTGCTCAGTAAATGAAAGTAAAGAGAATAAGAATTGCAAAATGTTCTCGTATTTATTATCGATATTTAATTATTTTTTTCCTAAACATTCAGAAATTGACACTGATGATGATAAACAAGAATTTTTAGCTGAAGAACTTGTAAAATTAGAGGCAGATAAACATCAAAATGATTATGTTACTGACATGCCTTCTGTTCCTAAAACAATTCCCAGAAATACTGAGTGCTTTCAGAGGACAGGCAAGTGATTCTTACAATTATACTTTATTAAATAAGAACTGGGGAAAAAAGAACTGGTAGTAATACAGTTCACCCATCCTTTTCAAAGGTTTTCAATTATATATTGTATCTTCTTTTCTATCTTTGTATTATTGTATTACAGAATGACCTACATTGTCTTGAAAGTATTTGTTTATCTTTTATTATTATTTTAGTACCGGTGCGTCTCATCGCTTATTAACATAAGAAAAAACTGAGTTTACGCTACTAAAGGTCGTATTCCAGAACTCTACTCAATGCTCAAGTCAGGATCTGAGAAGAGACTTGAAATAATACTCAAGTCCTTGCCATTAGGGTCATATTTCCAGTGCTTGAAATCATACTCAAGTCTGCTCAAATCCTGACTTGAGCATTGAGTACAGTTCTGGAATACGACCCTCTGTCGCTAAACATGTGCTGTTTAATTTACTTACTGTCACTGTAATGGTGAAGAAAAACAATGTGATTATATATAGGTATTGGAGAGCACAACATTTACATAACTCCACAACACATGAAGTCCCAAAGTTATTATTATTATTATTATAATGAATTATTCCCTAAACATGTGTTAGGTTGGGTTGATAAAGATTAGAAATTACCACTGGTTGTAACACAAAATGGAAATACATTTCAGGAGTAATCACTTACCTAAGCGAAGATTGTGTACTCATTGATGGAATGCTCTTTTTTGACAGTACATTTTGTTCAATAACATTGAGTTTGAATGACAAAGTCTTATACCTGGGCTACATAGATAAAAAAGATTCGATAGTAGTTGTAAGGATATTGGAAAATCTAGGATTGGCCTGGTCTGAGAAAGAAGAAGTACACGAGAGTAGTTATAAAGTTATAGAGCATGTGATTGTGGGTGAAGTATCGAGAAGAGAAGATCGCTTTGTGCTAATGAAGGATGGTGATTTGAAATTCAGTTTGGATGATGTTGAAGCCACTTTTGTGCCCGTAAAAGGGGATTGGCTTGAACTTAAATGTACTATGCAATTTGATGAAGAAAATCCTACTGACATTTCAGCGGCCCAGGTATGTTTTCATATATAGTATTTGTAACCATCAGATGCTTAAGAAGATCTAGGCTCAATGTACGTTACTGGAGAACGAAATTTTTGTAAGGAAATGGTACATAGCATGATGTACACAAGATATGTGACGTTCATAGTAATAGACATAGTTCATAGGAATAGATAATAGAAAAAATCGGGCGTTATTTGCATTGCCGGGGCATTTATGATTTAGTTAAAAAAAAGAAAAGGAATTAACAATATGTTTGTTATTAAACAAACATGAAATATAGGTATTTAAAAATCGAATAGATCATCTATCTTCAAAGAATGCTATTTCTAAATAGATTTGTTTGTTGTGTCTCTCCTTTCATCATCATCATTTCAGCCGAACGATGTCCATTGCTAGTCCTTCCTAAACGACCGCTACAAATTTAAATTAATTGTAATAAATTATTATTTCGCTGTTAAACATTAACGTTCATTATTGGTCTTCTAAATCAATTCTGTGTTTTTTCATGGACAGGCAGGAAATGATTGTATAATGTAATATAACGTAAAGACATATGTTACAAATGTATAAATACATACATACATATGTATATGACTATGATACAGTCGGTCATCTACCAAATTGATGGTTTTTCTGCTCACAATGCTCGTATCTGCGCTTATAATCTGTGACTGGAGTTCATGCGTCGTAATTTACTATCTCCAAATAGCAACTGTTATTTATTTATTAAATATATTATTTACTTTATAAACAGCAATATAAATCAAATATAGCAATAATGTAAATGTTTTTTGTAATTTGAGCATGGTATGTGATTCCTTGTGTTTTATTTACTTTAACATGGTAATTAGTGCAATTTCTAAATGCACACAACACAGTTGTCCGATTTTCGAATCTTCAAAATGCAGATGCTAGTAACATAACTGCCTTTTTTTACGTAGCATAATGAATTTCACGTGGATTGTATAACGTACAAGCTAGATATTTTTATGGTTAGACAACTTTATGTTTACAACTCACTTTAAAAAAACTTTCATTTTTTGCAATTATACGTCATATTCATGATTCAGGTACTCCAAGTAATTGCCTTCAGAGCTTTGAGAACTAAAATCAAGAGTGGAAAAGTCACAGATTGGCTAGGGCAAAGTGGAAGATGTGACGGAAACATCTACTTTGACGAGCACAGCTTTGAAACAAGTTTTATTCCAAAAGTTGGAAATAAAGTAAGTACATGACATAAAAGTAATGTGCAATAAAGAATATTATTTTTTACAATAAATGTTGAATGGAATAAATTTGATTCTGTTTTCCAGGTCATGGTAGAAGCTATAGAAAGCAATCAAGGCACTTGCTCATGGAGGGCTCTCAAACTTGTCATTGTTGATTCAAACATCAAACAAGTAAATAAATCCCAAACCACTGAAGAGAATGATGTAACTTTGAAAGTGGAACAAGATAAAAATATTGCATTCACCTATCCTATCAAATTTGAAAATGTAAATTATCAAAGTACTGAAAAAATAACTCTAAGCATCACCAACAATAGTAATGAAGTATATATAATGAACAAGTGGATAGTCTTGAGTAAGAAGAGAGACTCTCAAATAGATATCAAACCATTTTTAACTCGTCCAACCAGATTGTACCCAAAACAGACTATTTCTTTTAACGTCACATGTTATCCAAAATTCTTGGGAAATTCGAAAGAATGTTTGATAGTAATGTTTAGAGGTTTTCAGTTAAAAAGATTCATAGAAATAAACGTCGTCAACAACAATGATGAGTGTAGTGGAATAATAGATAATTACATAAACACATGTAAATCTGAAAAAGAAAAGATATCAAAAATGAGAGACATCAGAAAAAGCGAAAATACATTTATACCCGGAGTTAAGGTTTTGAAGCCGCCAGCATTTATTCCAGTGAAACTTGGAATTTTTCCAATACCAGAAAAAATTTGGTCAGCTGTGTTGGGGGATTCGGAGCAAACAGTTCATGGTACAGACTATATAAAAATTTTGGACAGAATAGAGTCAACTTTACCTTATCTATTGAAAGAATTATCTACTGAAAACTATGTTAACAAATGGCATACCCTACTGTACATGGAGGAGATCCAACATAATATTAACATTAGAGTGTACGATATGAAAACAACATTCTTGATACGATGTCAAGAATATCTTGCCATTGAAATTAGTGGTCTTTCTGAACGAAGACCTTCACTTATGAAAGGTGACAGGGCTTTGGTAAAAGATGTTTGGGACACAAATTCTCCTAAATATGAAGGATACATTCACAACATCCTTGGAGATTTGGTACTAATGAAATTCAATCAACGTTTTCATGAAACTTATTCAGGAAGTGATGTTTCATTGGAGTTTCATTTTAGTAGATCAACTTACAGGCGGCAACATCAAGCTATTAGCTTAGCCTTTTCGAATCTGGGTTCTGAAATATTGTTTCCCAGAAAAATATTATCGCGCACTCCACAAATGCCGCTAGAATGTGTTAAAGCGATTAAATGGTACAACGAGAAGTTGAACAATGGACAAAAAGCAGCTGTAACAAATATTCTTGCTGGGGAATGCCGGCCGCTTCCATACTGCATATTTGGGCCACCTGGAACAGGAAAAACTGTCACTATTATTGAAACAATCCTGCAAATATTGGCACATATACCAGATAGCAGGATTCTGATTGCCACTCCGTCAAACAGTGCAGCTAATTTAATAACAGAAAGACTGATAGAAAATCGAAACTCATTCACTGGATCTGTAGTGCGTTTAATTGCTAGCTATTTGGTTGACAATGATAACATTCCTGAAAAAATAAAGCCATTTTGTGCTACTATGGACATTGCAAAAGAAAGCACTGCAAAATCTAAACACAATGTTGCAGACGGTATCCAAATGCACTGCCAAACGTCATTTATTGGGCGACATAGAGTTACTATCGGCACGTGCATATGTCTTGGCGTATTGGCTCAGATGGGTTTGCCAAAAGGTCATTTTACTCACATTATTGTGGACGAAGCAGGGCAAGCTCTCGAACCAGAAATTATGATACCACTGACTTTTATTGATAAAGAAAATGGTCAGATTGTTCTAGCTGGTGATCCAATGCAACTGGGGCCAGTAGTATTGTCAAAGTATTGCAAAGAGTATGGCATGGATATTTCTTATCTGGAGAGACTTCTTAATACATTCCCATATCAAAAAGATTTCGACGCTTTTCATGATGGATTTAATCATAAGTTGATAACAAAATTGAATGACAACTACAGATCACTGGAAGAAACACTGAAACTTTCAAGTGAAATATTTTATGATGGCTCTTTGGTACCAAAATTAGACCGACAAGAACAATGGGTTCTAAAAACTATTAGTGTGATAAATGAAGTTATGAATTCTCCTGATCAAGATACTGGTGGTATATATGTCTTTGGTATTAAAGGCCACAACATGAGGGCAAAGGACAGTCCGTCTTGGTACAACCCCCAAGAAGCTTCAATGGTGGCACTGACTGCATGCAAATTGTTTAAGAGAAATGTTTCTGCTAATGACATAGGAATAATTACACCTTATATTGCACAGGTAAAATGAAGACTTAGTGGCATAAAAGAAATACTGGTAAGTTCAATACATGCAAATTGATGTAAATAATATTATGTTTCAGATGAAGTATTTACGAGTTCTATTTGAGGGCATGGGGTTGCCTCAACCGAAAATAGGAACAGTTGAAGAATTCCAGGGTCAAGAGAGACCCATAATTCTAATGTCGACTGTCAGATCAACAAAGTCACTTTTAGTTGAAGATCATAAACATACACTGGGTTTTGTGCAAAATTCAAAACGGTTGAATGTAGCCCTGACACGTGCGCAAATTGCTATTATTATATTCTGCAACCCACACCTTTTGAATACAGACCCACAGTGGAATAAAATTGTAGAATATTCTGTAAAAGAAGATAAATACATGGGATGTGATTTGCCCTCTGATTATGATTCAAATACTAATAAAAGTGTAGAAGATTAAGTTGATGTTGGTATTATTTATCTCATAGGACTCACCACATTTATTCATATTGAATCGCCTTAAGCCGATCATAAAAACCTTTACGTCCATGCAATATGAGCGAAAAGACGTTGCTCGTCTCGCTTCCGTTCGGATCGCCGCCCGACGCGAAACGCACAAAGTCATTTTCGCTCTTGTTACATGGACATAAAGATTTTTCTAACCGGCTTAATGCGATTCCGTGTTTACGACTGTAGTGACTCCCTAATACAGTTAGTGGTTACGTCTAAAAAATGGTTGTATTGTGTATAGTATATTTCCCACAGAAAAGTGCCCCACTTTTCTTTTTATTAATGATATTGAGGAAATCGAGCCGATGAATTTATGAATAACGAAATTCGTTAACAATTTTATATTTGCTGATAACTTCTGCAGAGGCACGTATACGATACTTCTCATGTTAAGCGTTGGGTTTGGTAATGCGCATAAAAGATTTTCTCCAATTTCCATACAGTTGTTTTTGTCTGTTTATGTTAATGTCATATAAATTTCCTTTCGTAAATTTCTTGCTAAGTATTTGAGTGATGTTTGTATTATTCCAATATTGTTGTTATGTTACATAGGTATTGGAATAATACGGTACAATGTGAATTGGTTATCGTTAGTTAGTGGTAGGCTGATCTCAATTATGCAAAAATTGTTTACAACTCGATTTTGCGTGTAAGATTTTGTAAATATCTCTGGTGTTGTCTGATGTTATCAACAGGGATAGATAAATGTTCTGGAAGTTGCCCTGATATTATGTTCAGTTCGTTGAGTAACTGGTCTTGGTTTTGATAATCGTGTATCTATGTGCCCGTTTTACACGAATTTTGTATATTTTTTGTTAAATTGCAAAAAAGTTAAAATATTTCAATTTGAATTTTATGTGTCCTTTTGTGCCATTAAAAGATGTGTGAGAAGTTTTTCCATCCTATAATAAGGTAAGAAGGTCCTGCCCGATGTGCATATAAAATTTCACCATGTATACAAATGTATAATCCCATGACCTATTTACAGTGGTAAATTTTTTTTTTACATGTCATTGTAACAACCATAGATTTAAAATAAACGTTAGTTCCGGGAAAATCAATAGTCCTGTAATGGTTCTGTACCACTGATTTTCACCACAATTTTAATTATAAACAACCCTTCATGTTAAGGTAGTTTTTAAGGCCATTAGCCAATTCTGATTGTACGGACAATGGCAAATCAGACTACACATTTTTGTTCGAAAATCGCCTCCATTTCAACGGAACAAGATACGTCAATGTGTAGCTTGACGTGCTGGCGTGGTATATTTGTCAGTCAGGAATTTTTCGAAAATTGAACCTTTTATTCGTGGACCAATATGAAATTTTCTGTGTCAAAATGTCTAAAATAACGGCGCAATCCCAGAACAAACACAAAAATGGCTCGCTCGCTGCATGCTAGCTGCATGGTCATACTACTTCCATACGAAATTTCAATTAATTCATTGGAATAGTATTCAAATTAGAGTGGTTTTAATGACTAGAGTAGAATATTTTTGAAAAGTATGTACATAAAAAATCATAACTTCTAAACTGTTGATTTTCGCCGAACTAATGTTTATTTTGAATGGGTTGTTACAATCGAAACAAATTTTGAACCACTAAGTGGGCGGTTTCTATGCGTTTATTTATTATAATCTAAGTTTAATGCTTTGTGTAAGTGTTTACGAAGTATTTTATTCACACAGTGATTCAATAAGTTAAATTAACTCGCTTGCACAAGAATTTACATTTAGGGCTACGACAAAAAAGCAACATAATTTTTTTGTATGTATGTATCAGAATAATCAAACTTTATACCTAATCATTTTGTTATCGTTAAGACGGCAACATAGCAAAACTGCTCTTTAATCAATCTTCATAAACGCATCAGTTTACGTCACACGTTACGGATTGCAAAGAATTATTTTGTTTGTATTTTTAATTTATCTTATACTCTTAAAAAGAATATGTATATTATAAAATAAAATTATTCCTTTCGTTGTGCATTATCTTATCTCTAGTAGTTTCTATTATGGAGTCGAACCGGGCTATTTTGTGCGATAATCTAATCAAGTGGTTGCAGACGCTTAATCTTACTGCAAAACATGGGAATCCAGCAGGTATTGAATTCTATTTCATGCTTTCTCGTTCATTACACGCTACAATAGTCATGGTATCGCATATTTCGGTTTCATATCACCCACATCCGCTGTCGGTGACTCCCATTATAGTAAGTGGATAATTTCGTCACTGCTCTTATTATCATTTGATTGAGACACAGTTGTTCCTTTTGTTCGTTTTATAGACAACTTTGTCACTTAGGTTGTATGAATGCAACTTTCTGCCTCGTAAATTTGTACTGTGATTTGATTTTTTTGTAATTGGAATTGCCTAACACATTTCATCAGTTTTGGACATTAGATGTGTTTCTTAGGAGTCTATGTTGTTTTAGAATTATCCGATGGAGTGGCAATCGCCGAGGCACTCACTCAGATTGCTCCTGAATATTTCACACCATTGTGGTACTCCAAAGTCAAGACGGATGTCGGTAACAATTGGCGACTAAAAGTCAGCAACCTCAAGAAAATATTAGAGGGAGTTGTTGGTATGTAAACAAATAGGTAAATAAGAAGTGAACATGGTTTAACTAAATATCTTCAAAAATTACTTTTGAAATTGTTGTTAAATCATGTTGAAAAATATGTAATGAAAGAATGTTTAATATCATCTAAAGGTATTACACCTACTTGGTAATTAGTAAAGCTAGTAATGCTCCTAAGTAGTTTCTTATAGAGCAATAAGTGAAATATAACATGTAAATGTTTACAGATTATCATCAAGATATACTAAATTTAAGTCTTCAAGAGTTTTCGAGGCCCGATGTAGTGAATATTGCTGAGAATGCTGACCCTTCAGACTTGGGAAGGCTCCTGCAATTGGTACTCAGTAAGTTATATAAACAATGTACATAATAAATAACATAGAAATAATTGGCTTTGTCATGTAGTTTTTATTCAGAGTTTATTATTAGGTTTGTATTGAGTAATTAAGCCAATACAAATGGAGACTAATGAAGACTAGGGAAATCCTCGAGCCATCTTTAAAGGTAATAAAATCACAATAGCCCCATACAACAAACCAGAAAATATGAGGTGTATTGCCTGTATGTATATATATTTTGTCTACATTAAGATAACTAAATACTGAGGAATATGGCTGTGTGATTGATTTAGGTATGTTGTGTCTTATGTTGTATCTTGGGATCTATTTATTTATAGCTATTGGGTGGTTAAAGTATTACGTTACCAACCCGCATAATGAATGAGGAATGTTTTGTACTACAAGTGTACCATTACACAACATGTTTCTTGTTTTACATTGTTTAAATTGCTGCTTATAGATATTCAATGTTTTAATTATTAATGAAAGTAATCTATGAGAATATATATAAAATTGGATGAGGAAGGTACAAGACCAAAAGGAATACTGTACATTGGAATGGACACTTAGGGTCGTATTCTAGAACTCTACTCAATGCTCAAGTTAGGATTGCACTGGAAACACAAGCACTGGAAATACGGCCCTAATGGCAGGGACTTGAGTATGATTTTGAGTGCTTTAAACCATACTCAAATCCTGACTTGAGCATTGAGTAGAGTTCTAGAATACGACCCTTAGTTTGGGTAAACAGCAGTTAAAAAAATATCTATGAATGATTTGAAGACCTCCTATTGCTTGATTGCTCCGATTGCTGTGTTTAGAGTTTAGAATAGATTTGTGATAATTTGTAATTTATAAAATAAATTGATTTTATATGCAAAATTTGGTTCAATAAAAGTTTATAAACAAGTTTAAAAAACTATTCATTATATTTGTGCAGTGGGTAAATATGCTTTAGTTACAAAATGGATCTTTATTATTTATCACGTGATTTACCCATCAACCACTTTTAACAATATTTTTGGCAATAGGTTGTGCTGTCAACTGTATTAAGAAAGAGGAATATATCACACGTATCATGGAGTTGGAATTATCATGTCAGAGGTCTATAATGCAGGCTATTCAAGTAAGTGTGCTGATCAAATTCCACTTATTGCGTAAGCTTCGCTTCGTAGGAACATCATTTTCAGAATAGTAAATTTAGATGCTCTAGTCTGCCTATCTTTCAAAACAGAACTAAATGGCAGGTACTGCTGATTCTGTGTACCTGTTTATTAGCTTAAGATGATTTGCAATTATTGGATAGACATTTCCCCAGCTGCTGTGTATCGAAATTAATCTCTGTAGAGGCCTTCTTTATTAATTAATTTATTTGGATGAATTGAAATGTATTATTGAATATGTTGTTACATAATTTACCCATTCATGGACAGTCCTTAAATAGTCCTATGTACACAAAAATGTCACTACCTTAGTTGCCATATTGTATATTGATTCAATATAAATTGTTCAATGTAAATCATTGAATGGTGTCAGTTTGTTGTTTATACTTCTCTATGGAGAGGCAATAGCAATTTTTGGTAGCAATAAAGCTCCTTGTGAAAGAATTCGTCCAGAGAGGTACTGCCATCTTACCTATTTCTGCCCCCAAGTACTAATGTCAGCATTACTGCGTTTTGGTTTTGAATGGCAAGAGCGCTGGTGAAATTACAAGCACATGGGACTTATCAGGGTGACGCACTTATCATCAGCCCTACGACTTGATCACACCGTCAAAAAAAATAAGCGGGAACTGTGCTGGTGGAAATCTAATAAAAGGAGTTTGGCGCTTTCCTCATTATCTATATCGCTGTCATTAATATGCATGAAAATTACTTCCTTGATATCAAATCCTCTGAGAGAGAAAAAAGGAGGACAATGCAACACTTGTGTAGTATTGCACACAGCGGATTGCACACAAATGAACATTGGCAAGGTGCAATTTAGAATATGATAGAACTAATTAATGTCAGGCATAACATCACACAGAGAGCAATGCACTTATAATGTAAATTTTGGAGTAAGATTGCGTTCCCATTATGTCGTAACGTTTTAATAATCGTTGGACGACTGTTGCGTCGAGCCTGTTCCCATGTCATGACTATTTTATCGTTGAACGACTGTCGTGTCTAGCTGTTCCCACTAGATCGTGACGTTCACGGTAGCCGCCTTGTCGTTTACACGGCAGAATCGTTTGAAGGTACTATTATCGTCAGACGACTGTCGTTCTAGCTCTTCCCATTATCACGACAGTCTGTCGTCATGACGTCAAAAAAGTCGTGAACAACAGTTAACCGTATTTTACTATACGTAAACAACTTAATTTAAATATACAGGCGACGACACTTCAAACTGCACGACTATCTGTCGTCGCGACATAATGGATACGTGCCCTAACTGTAATTCAATTCTTTTGTTTTTAATTGGACTACTTTTTTCATCTGTGGCTATCCTATTTTAAAGTAGCAATAAAGTTCTGGTGTTCTTCCTTTCCTTACTCAATATCTTTTGCTTACTTTATTTTCATCGGACCGAACTTACGGTTCAAAATTTTTGAAATTACCATAATTATAAGCATATACCTAACAAGTATCTACAGTTAAGGTTACACGATACTAAATGATTGTTACTAAACTGCTCATTGTTTTATTTCTTCGGATATGAATATACATATATATGAATTCATTGAATAAGTTAATTATTAATTACATACGGTTTATAAAATACAGTTTTGAACTCTATTGCTATTAAGATACGATAACGAATTTGAAACTACTCTCGCGTCCGTTCGTAGCTAATTAACGTTTGATAGTTATTATGTAATGTTAATTCAGTATTCAGCTCGACCGCCTTTTTACTCCGAACAGTAATCTAGTTAACAGTCGTGTCAATTTGTTTCACTGCAAAAATTAAAAACTTTTGCTTAATATATATTATTAAGCACGATATTTCTGATTGTATTAAAACAGTTATTCGTTAAATTTTAGTCACGCTTATTTTATGTCCTTCTATCACGAAAATTGGTTGTGTGTGCGGTTTAATTTTAGTTAGTATTTTAAGCCAGTTGTGGTACAGTTGCTGTTATGTTATTACACGTTAAAAATGCGTTTGTTAAATGGTTACAATGTGCTTTAGGAGTTGGAGACGTTGACTCTCGGTCCGAATCGTGGAAGTCTGCACCCGGAGACGCCTGCCACGGATCAGACCGATGCGGAGATGAGAGAAGTGCTCGCGCAGCGGTGCCATGAACTTGACAGTCAGGTATGTTAATTATTTATAGCCGATTTAAAAAAAAAGGAGGAGGTTCTCATTTCGTCTGTAGGTTTTTCTTTTTTTTTTGTATGTATGTTACGCGATAACTCGATAACGAAATCATTTGTGAACCGATTTTGATGATTCTTTTTTTTTTGTTGGAAAGAGGGTACGTTGGTAGTAGTTCCATTTAAATTTGAACCTGTAACGGTGGCACACTAGGGGATGAATCTGATTTTGCGCACTTTCCGGTAACCGATTTCAATGAAACTTTGCAAATAGATGTAATTCCACTAACTTTTTAGGTCGGTTTTTTTAGTACACTGTACTGAGATTATTGGTAAAACTAATTTAAGTGTGTGTAGATGTTGACTAACCAAATGGAGATCATTGCTGAGGTATGTATTTAAGATCGCGGATTGCTTATTCAGATTCTATTGATAACAAAGTTTCTTACGGTATAAATGCACGCAAAAAGGAAATTGCCAATGCTACTTAACTAGTGTGGTGTTTAACATGACGTAAAATCTAAATTAAAGTCAGCTAAGGCTACGGCATTTAAATCTTATAGTTATTTCATGCTACATTTCAGATTGTTAAACACAGAGCTTGATGTTTTGAATTCTCCATTGCTTATTCAATAACATTGGGTTTCGAAGTAATGTAACGTTTACCTTGCGATAGTAATCTGCATTTATAATAATATGCAGATGTATAGGGAATGAACACATGAAATTGCGGTGACAACACATAACATAGTAATTTAAGTATAAAGTAAAAAGCTGATATAGAACATCCGGTATTGCTATGTAGCAATTTCTGCATATATACAGAGTTCTTTATAAAATAGTAATAGTAATGTATCCTGCGATGTTGTTAGTGTTTTACAAATAACCCTGTATGTATAGATTCGCGTATATTAGATTTATCAGTCTTAAATTTCATAAGTCAT